TGAGAAAAGAATGAATGAAAGGAAYTGAAAGGATGGACAGATGGGTTAAAGGATGAATAAGTGAGTGAGGTCATAAGAAAGGTAGGAATAAGGATTGAAGGTAAAAAGAAAGCGTACTGGAAGCGCAATCTTAACCAGTGTGATGGCTAGCCATGAATGACAGTGCAATGATATATCTTGTTTTGTTTTGGTGTGCCAGGTTCTTCACACAGTCGTGCGGCCATTTCACGAATTCAACTCCAAATACAATCCTTCTAAGATGAGAGGGCTGTACAAGAAAGCTGTTTATGAAGCCTTAGAGGTACATGACAATGGTGATGGTGTCTGATGATGGTGATGATAATGATGTTGATGAAGATGGTGATAATGATGGTGATGATGATGGTGTTTGATGATGATGATGAAGATGGTGATGGTGAAAATGTTGGTGATGATATCGATGATAATGGTGGTGGTGATGATGATGATAATGGGCAATGATGATAGTGATAGTGATGGTGATAATGGTGATGACGCTTAAAATGATGGTGGTGGTTATGAAGATTATGGGGATGATGGTGATGGTGATGATGATGATACCAATTTTTTGATATTTTTCAATTTTCTTGAAACCTTCTTTAAGTATTTATTGCAAAACAAATTTCTTGAAACCAGTTTGCAGCCAAGCGATCCAAACGAGCCTTCACCAAATCAGACATGACGATCAAGGCAACAAAGAAAAAGCGTGTTAAGAACAAGAAACAAAGGCAACAATGCGAAGAACCATCAACAAACTTGACCAGCAAGAATGACGATGAACCCTTGACCGAGGAAGAATATCGAGAAGTGATAGTGGACTGGGCTCTGGGTGGATTTCTACCCAGCGGACCTCTTGGGTTTGCACCAACAGAAGGTACCATGGTCATAAAAAAATTATATTCAGCTTATCTTTGACATGGATTCGATAATGGTAAAATGTTCGTTTTTCTCCATTACAAGTCCTAGCCTGACTCTCTCGTTCGAGCCCTGCAGACATCATGTGTGAGTCGAGTTTGTTTGATGTGTTGTTCTCTCCCTTGCCACGAGGGCTTTCTCTAGGTACTTTTGTTTCCTTCCTCCGTAAGAAAACAATATGTGAGTCGAGAGGTAGAATACGCATAGAATATTCAAGTTTCAAGTTTAGTTCAAGTTTCAAGTTTAATTTACAAATAAAGATTGTCATATTTACAAAATGTATCACCCTCCCGCGAATAGCACTAAACTAATTAGACTAAATCTAAGCGGGAGGCCATTTATTACATTGAGAAATAGATATTTGAAGATTTACAAATAACTAAGAAAACTGACAATTTAATTACAATAGTAAAGAAACGAAAAGGGGAAAATGTGGAGATAGTGTGTGTGTGTGTGTGTGTGT